GGTTGTTGGATTTCTTGCTTCTAGAATTGTGAGATAATAACTCTGTTGCTTTAGGTCACCCTTTTTGTGGTCTATGTTATGGTAACCCTAGGACACTAATACAGTCTCTATGGAATCTACCTCCAAAGACATAAACTGACTTTCTGATTACGTTAAGTAAACTTAGAAGACAGACTGTACAGTATGAGTCAATGGAAATGGATATTGGTATGTGACACCGCAGATCAGAACACGGGTTCTGGGTTTTGGTAAATCCTGTTCAAGTTGCCAGGTATATGAACAGGACAACTTGCTTAGTGACTCTGAGCTTCAATTTCCATGTACATAAAATGGAGTTAATAAAGACTGTTGGGAAGATCAAATGAGATGATATATAAAGCACTTAACATGCTACCTTGGGTACAGTAATACTTAAGAAATTCTAACACTTCTTCACTGTAATCCAAAAGAGATGTTCTCATCTTTCCTGAACTAGAGAGACAACAATGAATTGGCCATAGCAAAAGGGGGACCCATATGTCTGAGAACTACAAGGACAAGTTTCAAGCAGTGATAGACTGTGCTGACGAGAGGGTGTAAAAATTCCATTTACGAGGATAGCCTGGACTGAACTAGTAGGGAAGAATGAGTAGGTCTTTCAGCTTGGGAAAACTGTGGAACCCAAAGTGGGAGCAGCGGCCCTTCAGGAAAGTAGAGCCAGAGTTCACTTAGAAGAGAGGGGGTGTCCAGTTAAAATTCACCCTCCTTCAGGAAGAAGTGCATGCATTTACCCCACCACACTTGGTTGAGAAATACTGACCTAGAAAAAAACTATTTGACTAAGAAATTAGTGCTTGGGCATTCTTATAACTAGTAACCTTTTGCCTGTTTAGAGTAACACGCAAAATGAGTTACTTAGAAATTTAGTGCCTTTTGGGAGGGGGGTGGGGCTCATTTTCTGCTATGGCTTCCTAGAAAGAAAAGCAATTATAGTACATTCCTACAGGAAAAAAACCATGACACACGAGCTTTTATCACAAAATTAAAAAGTCAAACTTTATCTTTGGAACAAAATAAAGGGTTGATTATTGTCTATTGTCATTCATTGTAAAATATGTTATCTTTGTTAAATCTCGGTGTGCTTCCCACTCTCCAGTCTTTTTGATATTTAAAACAGGCTAGTAATTTCTCAGGTGGGTGTATTTCCTCTGTAAGAGATCATTTGCATGCTTGCATTATGATACTGAGAAAAATCCTAGAAGCTATACCTCAAAAGTTGTTGACTGTCTAGATAAACATCTGCTGTTTTATGATGGTGTGAACTGCAGAGCTACTCTTAGTCTCTGCTCTTTGCTTTTTCATAACTGAGTGGGTGGGGAAATGGGAAAGAGTCAGAAATCTAATGTGTCTCTCTCTTTTTGTTTCATCCTCTACAGAATGGGAGGTCCTACCCCACACATGCATTACACACGCAGCTCGAAAGGGAGGAGGGATTGAAACGGACTGCAGTGATTCTCTCGCCCTGCACCAGAGCAGGAAGTTTACTCACAGCTTCATCGCTCGCCAAATGCTTTCCATGTTCAAGTTTTTATAATGTTATATCTGCTTGGTTTTTGTTAATCATCTGCTATAAATTTAATAAACTTTTATAAAATTTGTTATTTATTCATTTCACCTGTAATTCCTGAATACTTAAAGGAGGCCAAGCCCTGTGAATACTGCGATGAACAGGAGTCAGTCATAGTATTGACTTCCATGGAACTCAATTCTTTGAGGAGTAACAGGCCCTAAAAGAGACATGAATGGATGACTGTCTTTCCCATTTCTGTGAAGAATGTCATTGGTATTTTGATGGAAATTGTATTGAATTAGCAAACTGCTTTGGATATTATGGACATTTTAACAATATTAATTCTTAATTCTCCCAATGCATAAACATGGGAGATCTTTCTTTTCTTCTCCTTTTCTTTCTTTTGTTTGTTTCTTTTTGTGTGTGTGTGTATGTGTGTGTGTGTGTGTGTGTGTCTTCTTTTATTTCTTTCATCAGCATTTTGTAATTTTCTTTATAGGGGTCATTACTTCCTTGGTTAAATTCATTCTTAGTTAAGTGTTTATTTGTTTTTAAGATGAAATTTCACTATGTTGTCCAAGCTAGGCTCAAGCTTCTGAGCTTAAGGAACCCTGCTGTCTTAGTCTAGCGAGTAGTTGATATTTTGAGTGGGATCACTTTCACGATCTCTTTATCAGTAAGTTCATTATAAAAATGCTCTGAGGAGATTCCTTACCTGGTGTGGGGAGGGTTGGCGCACACTGGTGCTTAAAAAGGTGGAGGAACCAGTCCAAAGATCACCCATGCTCATGGATTGCCTATTCCTGAACCAACTCTTGGGAATGGCAGGGTGTGGGGTGGCCAAAGGCCACTGTAGCTGGTCTGGCTACGACTTGGTCTGGGGAGAAAAGCAATGTGTTGCACTGATCAAAACATGTCACACGGCTACCTGTAGCAGGAAAATGATCTGAGAAAGCAGCTGTTTGGGTACATTTTGACAATGACCTAACCAGTGTTCTCTTAGAAAGCACAAAGGGCAGATCCCGGATGGTGTAACAAAGTGTTTCGCTGAGCCTGGGATGCTTTCTAGGTTTTTTTCTGAATGCCTGCAAAGGGAGGGTATGTAAATCAAAGCTGTGGAATGATCTGGAGAATTTAGCAAAAAGTCACTTCTCTTTACCTTGTTTTCCATCAAGTCCTCCACAGCACAGCCAAGTTTTGACCCTTTGTTACCACTGCTAAAAAATAATGTACAATGAGAAAAACAATCTTGCCACCCATTCTTGCAACAGTGCAGAGGAAACCTTACATGACTTTGTCCCTGGTGGCTACTGTAACTCAAAGTCCTGAGTCAGAAAATCTCTCAACCTTTTTAGGCTATCCTATGGAAGATATGTTTTCTTACCTGCACTTACCTCCAAAGATGCACCCCAGAAACTAGTTTTGAAATCTTATAAAATTCCAGTTTATGCTCCCTTTCCTGTTTCAAGAACTTTGTTTCAAATTAACGTTTTAACTCAGTAATCATCGAGTGAGAATCCCTGGTTTTTCAGGCACCTCTCTAAGTGCTGAGAATATGGGGGTGAAGTAGAGCCCAAAGCCACTGGAATACTGGAATACATGTCCTGGTGGGAGACACAGGTAACAGGCACACATACAAGCGGCACAGTGGGAGGGTTTAGAGCTGTGCTTGGGAGACTTCTAGGTGTAGATGCAGGTTCTGTGGCTTCCTGGTTGTGCACTTCAGGAAAATTACTTGATTCTCTGTGCCTCGGTTTCTCTTTCCATACAATAATGGGGAAAGTTGTAATACTTCCCTTTTAGAGCCACAGTGAGACTGCATTCTGGCTCATAGAGATAAACACAGCCACATTAAAGGGCCTGGAAGCTAAGATGTAGATGTTTCAGAGGTTAGAAAATGAGGATGGCAAATTAGTACCTGTCTTCCTTGGCTGTATTACATGGGTTAATTTACATAAAGTGCATAGCACTGTGACTGGTATGTAGTAAATGCTCAATAAACATTCGCTGTGAGTGAATGCAATAATCCCAGCACTCTAGAAGGCCAAGCAGGAGGATCACAGCCTGCGCAACTTGACAAGACCCTTCTCAAAATAAAAACTAGAAAAAGGGTGAGATGTGAAGGAGTCTGACCACCACACCCTAAGCTGACCAGAGGCTACTTTAAGCCATCTCACTGTACTTTTCCCCCTGCTAACGATGTACAACCATGGGATAGTAAGCCCAGTAAGCACAGGTGTACTCCCATCAACTCCCATCATTCCTCAGCCCTGCTCCTGACAGGCAGCCCCCGCTCCCTGTGCTTTCTCAAGCCTTGTTCCTGGCAGGCAGCCACAACTCCTTCTCACTTTTCAAGAAGTTCCATTTTGATCTTTTCCTTCCATAGCCCCGCTTCATGCTCCTGACCCTGTAAGAGACCTTCTCGCCTGTGTGAAAGTGACTGGTCTGGTCTAGGTGCCGGGGCATTCCCTCTCAGGTTTGTTCTAAAATAAACTTGTCTTGTTGATCTTGTGCCTTTGTTTTTTCTCCTCCTTTTATCCTCATAGGTTGTAGCTCAGTGTGAAGGTTCTGGATTCAATGTCCAATACCACACACAAAAGTTAGCCAGGATGCTACTTTAACTACCAAGTTGGTTTGGAGGGACTGGATGCTCCACCATGCTAGGTAAGGTCTGTAAAGGTGCCCAGAAATAGCCTCCCTGGACTCCACAGTGAAACCCTATCTCAAAATAACAACAACCATCGCAACAACCAGACACAAAGGAACATTCCAGGCCCATTTTTAATAGGCACCGCTGCAGCATTCTTATGCTTACTATTGTAAATTTCCTGCTTCAGATTCCTGTATAGAATTTTTTTCAGTTGTCTTCGCTTGAGGTGGAGAGTTTGCTCCATCACATGAAAGACATTATGAAGATTTGGGAATACAGTATAGCAAGACTGAGACTGTAACCACTTAAAGAAAACCCCCAGAGAGAGGAGAGGTGTCCGACCACACCATTTATCCTACCTGTCCCCTCCTTCCCCTTCCCCCCTTTTCATTACCACAGCGGAAAGCGGCTGTTCTAGCAGCATTTCCAATAATGCAAAGAAGGAAAACACAGACCTAGGCTTTCATGGAAAGTATTGTAACTCTCAGAATCCCTGCCTTTAAAAAAAATATATGCTTTTGAGATCTTTAGCTTTTCCTTCAGCATCTCAAAACTCAACTTTGTGAAAAGCATGTTCTGAGGAATGCTATTTCCTGGCACAACATTATCTTTGTCAAGTGACTCAGTGTGTTTTTTTATTTTGTTTTGTTTTTTCAATATGAAGTGGCCCCAACTTACAGAGAAAAAGTGGGCCTCAGGTATCAGTTTGATGGCAGGGATTTTCCCTGTTTGAAAAGGGCTTTAAATGAGGCTAGTTTGGAAGGTGTCTGCAAGCCAAGGGAGCTCCAGTCCTCTGTCAAGATGCTTCTGGCCACAGTCCTCATCTCTGCCTTGCTGCTCTGCTCTGCGGCCAGCCAGCGGTGCTCCACTTCTGCGGGAATCAGGGATATCAACTACCTCATCAACAATCTGCAGGTAGGCTGCAGGGCTGCCGGGCTGAGGGCAGGGAGGACAGCACCTGACTGCAGCGGTGGACTCTATGCGCACTCATGTGGGTTTTCATCTCTCTCCCTACTTTAGAAGGATCCACTGTCCACGTGCAGCTGCAGGGCCAATGTGAGTGACTGCTCTTTTTGAAGAACTTTCTGACCTAATTTTGGTTTTCACATATGGAACCTTTACTCTGAAATTTTTCTTTTTGCAGGTGACTAGTTGTTTGTGCCTGCCCATCCCTTCTGTAAGTATAGTAAAAGACGATGATCTTCATCTTATATTTTGCTAAGCTTTTTAACTAAAAATGAATTGTTTTGGTATTTTAAGTGAGAAACTGGTACTTTCTTGTAATTGTTACAGATCTTGAAATTCTATGCTATATTCTTCTCCTTGGATTTAGATAAATCTATGACCTTTGAGAGGTTTGAATACTTTTCAATATTTCAAAAAAAGTGTGACCATTGCTTTAGATAAATGGTCATGTGCACAGTGATGGGGTCCCATTATTTGAACTATGCTCTGAGAGAGCAGAGTGTGAGTCATGAAAGGAGCTCCAAAAGAGAAACTCCCCCATCTAACAGAGGGAGGAAAAAGGAATGTTTTTATCTCCTGCCCCTGCCCCCCGCCTCACCACACTCACTCCTGGTTACTAGGGCTGGGTGCTCACCCAAGCTGGGCCTGGAAGAGGTTGAATTTCCCACCCTAGCTGAGGTCAGTGCCATACCCCATGCACTCCATCAGTTACAGAGGTGAGGAGGAGCCCCACCCCCTCCATGTACAGTGCAGGAGTTTAACTCCGCTGAGACACTGTCCACACCCAAGGGGCACATCCCACTTGCTCATGTAAGACTTCCCCTCTGCGCACTTTCAGAACCACTCTTGTTAGACTCAGGGGAGAGAAAGGGAAAAGGAGACATGACCTGCGTATTTGCCACAGCCCACAGGGCCCAGGTGTCCTGGATGGAACGTGCTACAAATCTCCTGGCAGAGTTAGTGTGGAAAAGTGATAAAGTCTTGAAATATTGGAGATTATTTCCTAAACTGGCAAGGGACCTATGAAAAAATAGTGCAACTCTGGATTAGATGTGTCAAATTAAAATAATCTCTAAGGTCATTATCTTTGTGTTTCTTTCTTGAAGCTGTCCTTACAGTGCTTCCTTTCATAATTCCTTGTTATTTACCAGGACAACTGCACCACTCCATGCTTCCAGGAGGGGCTGTCACAGATGACCAACATCACACAGAAAACAAAATTCTCGCTGATCTTCAATCGGGTGAAAAAAACAGTTGAAGTCCTAAAGAACAACAAGTGTCTGGTGAGTTTGGGTTTATATGTGAAATGTTCTACTAGGTGATTTTTATGCGAATGCTGGATGTTGACTCTGATTAAATAGGGCATGATGATAAAGTTGGAATTGGTATTTCAATGTTGATAAAGGGACACCTAAGAAATGTAATCAGAAGCAATAGAATACAAGTGAAACCTACCCCAGATACTGCATTGTTCCCCCTAGTTTAAAAAAAAAACTTGCTGGCATCAGTGTAACCATTTTCTTCTCTCTGCTTCCTGAATAATGAAAGAATCCACCTCAGTTATAATTAGAAGTTACAATCTAGAGAATCAGAACTACAGCCCACTTGAAATTAAATTATCTTAAAGAGTCAATCTGCTAGCTAAATAGATGTGGTGGCCTGTAAGTTAAAGATTTTTTTTCCCCAACTGGCTAAATAGATTTTTAAAGTAAAATGTACCCAGACCAAGGTGGATGTTTGCCATGTGCTTAAACGCCCCTCTTCTTCAGCATATGTCCTTGTGTTGGGTTGGGGCTGATGACCTCCCTGCCTTCCTTTGCGGTAGCATCTGCAGAACGACATGGCAGCCCTGCGCTGGTCATGTAATTGTGTGTGTCCCAGCATCAGCAGCACCTATCCTGACACAGCGTGCTTTACTGAGGAGCTGGCTTAGGAACAATTGTTAAGAGCCCTCGCCTTCACATGACAGAGGAGAAAACGGGAAACTCGGGGGGGGGGGGGGGGAACTAATTTGCCTGAGGTTACATATTTAATAAATGATGCAATCGTGATTTGAATTTGGGTTTATGTGACCCTAGAGTTCCACTGTTAAGATGATCTTGAAAGGACAGCCAAAAAGGATAGTGATACATCAGAGGCCTCAAACTGTCCCAAGTGAAGGTTTCCTCTAGTGGGGAGATTCAAGGCTACTTGATATGCACATCTAAATGTGCATGTGAGCAGACTCCTAAAGTCCTACCCCAAAGTCAACCCCCTAAACCCTACACTGTTTTTACAGAATGCCACCTAGCTCCCTCCTGCTCCCTACCCGGGTCTGCTTCCTACCTATCCCTGTCCTCTCAGGCGCTGAGCAGGGTTCTTGCTGGGGCCGCTTGGTTCCATTCTGCTTTAGTCACTCTGTCCTTGTCAACTTTTATCTCCACAGTTCTTTTCCTGTGAACAGCCATGCAACCAAACTACAGCAGGGAACATGGTGACATTTCTGAGGCACCTGCTGGAACCTTTCCAGAAAGAAATGATAAAGGGGATGAGAACCCGAGTATGAAGATGACTTATTATTTATTCTATTTATTGAGTTTTAAAAAGCCTTCTCTTTAAGTTGTTGCAATGAAAATATCAAGTAAGCTACTTTAAATCAAAATCAGTTGTGATCAGTTGTTTAAGATTTTATGACTTTCTTTGGAATAAATATACATGGGAAAAAGAATACAAGCTGGTCTCTGAGTGCTTCCTCGTGGCTTCTCCACTCCTTGATGCTCAGAACAAAGAAAGCTACAAAACTGTCAAGGGAGAGACTGGGTCAAACACTCCATAATAAAATAACTCATGGTCCTGAGCACAGACTTGGAGGCTCTTAAGGTGTGGTTGGGACTGCAGCGGTGCAGTTGTAAAGTACTGACCTGGGGACACTCTGAAGGTCATCAGTGGGGGCCACTGAGGGTATGGCTGTTCGGGACACAGGGCACAGCTAAGGGGCTGCATTCCTAAGAAACCAATCATGCACCTGAAATAGGAGAAGGCGACCACTTAGTAAATCCAGAAGCTCAATGGCTACTGAAGAATACTGGTATGCTTGTTCACAAGACAGCAAAGAGCTTAAAGCTGAGCTGGCAAAGTGTCAGGGCACAGACCTTTTGGGGCAGAGCAGGAAGCAGAGAAACCAGCTGCTCACCTCAAAGACCTCCAGCAAACGCATACCATATGCCAGTGCATGGCCTGGCTGAGCTACAGGGTCTAAAGAGGTAAGTTCTAAGGAATCCTTGAACCAGGGTCTGTGGCTGGGATCTCATGGCTGTACCAAGACACCTCACCTTCATACTCCACCTGCCGCAGCCCTGGTCCCCATCCTGGCCTCTGTTCCACTGTGCTTACTGTCTTCGAAGATGCCCTCTGGTCCACCATGTTTGCTGTTTATTATCTGATCCTCCCTACTCACCTGCCAGCTCCCTGAGGGAAGAGAGCTACTTTGTTCACTCCTGTAACCGAGGTGTCTGTGCTGAGCAGGGCGAGGGTAGGTGCCGAGTGAACGTGGTCTGAATAGATGAAATGCTTTAGGAGGAAAGAGAACAGTGGTAACTGGTACCCGCATCAGGACTGTTTATGCCTGGGGAAGAGACAGGACTCAGGGCACACTGTGGTGCCTTTCCGACACCTGTGGGCAGGTCTAGGCTGGGGTCCACATCGCCTGACCCCGTAGGAGAGGCGGGCTGCCAGCCCTCCTATGTGGCCCCATGTGGTGGGTAAGTGGAGCCAGAGTTAAGGCTGGATCAGGGTGGTGTGCTAGTCAGAATGGCCCTGTGCCCCGCAACCCGAAGACTTGGAGAATTGGGAAGAACTCGGAGCCTTTTATTGTTCATTTTTATTTTTCATTTTTGAAGTATATGGGATCAAACTCAGGGCCTTGTACATCCCAGGCAAGGGCTTTACCAAGGAGCTCCACCACATGCCCCAGGAAGTAGAGGCTTTCAAAGAATAAAGTCAACTGTGGGGGAGAATTTTCTTAGTTTCTTCCAGGATATGAATTACCTCCTCCCGCTGACAGACCAGCCACCCTAGCCCATCCGTGGCGGCTTCTCATCATGATGATTCAGAAAGTTCAGGGGAGCCAGAGCCAGAGGCACTCAAAGGGCTGAGCTCCGCTTTTGTTCTCAGTAGTTATGTCACGCAAAGTCCAGATGGGGCCTGCCCCACAAAGCAGGAGTCATCCCAGAAGCCCAGGCCCCGGGGTCATGCGGCTACTTCAGAGAGGAGGGTGGGCGCAGGTCTGCCCTCTGCCTGCTGCCCAGCCCCGCCCTCCTGCACAGCCCTGGTGAGAGGGACTCTTCATTGAGGCCTCAGATCAGGGGACTGTTTTCTTATCCACTTGAGTGCAAAAACCCAGGGTCCCTGAGAACATCTAACCATAGTTTTAGCCTAGTTAGGATGGAAAGATCTCAGTTATTTCTGGGGCATAAAACTCGGAGAGCAACATGCTACATTTCACACTAAAGGGACTTTCAGAAGGAGGCTAGGGATGTTTAGATTTATCCTCCTTCAGTGCTAAAGCATTTTTGGTGGGGACACAGACTTAAGACGTGGTCTCATCTGGTGACAGATCTGCCTTCCCAGAGGAGCGGGAAACATTGGCGGCAGCGGGGATGGGGTGGGAGTGCTGTGAGTTCTATGGAAGAGGTTTGCTGGGGAAGCTCCCATACAATGGAGAGGAGAATTAATGCTCCAGCTCTTATTAGTAATAAATCTCACCATCTCTATATATTTTATTCCTGGAGACTTAAAGTTCTAACCACCCAGAGTTCTTGGTTCTGTTTTTCCTCATGAGTGGGGCCGCCAGTGCCGGGGTCCTGCTTTGCATAGTACACTGAACAGGGCATCCAAGGATGTCTGTCTTGCCTGATTCCCATGTGCCCTGCAGATATCCAAGGACAAGGTGCCTTTCCTCCCCAACTCTTGCAACTCTATGTGTGACATGCAGCAGGTGCTGAGCAAAAGATCTAGTAAGAAACACATTCGTTAGCATCAAGCACTTAATATTTAAGCACCTACTCTGAGTGTACTAGGCCCGCAGCATTTAATCTCCTAGCAATGGCAGGAAGTAGATATTACTTGTTCTTTATAGATGTAGAAGCCAAAGCTTTCTAGGTTAGACGACTTTCTCAAGATCCCACAGCCAGTAATACTCCAAGCAGGGACTCACTCCCTGCTGGTTCTGGTTCCAAACGCTCTGCTCTTTCCATTTGCTTTTTTCTTATTCTGTTGATATTAGATCTGTATATTGTGTTTCCACTGACCACCGCCAAAGGGTAAGATAGATTCACCACAGTACCGGTACACACACTCCCCTCCAGGAAGCTAGGGGGTCAGATGAGGTTCAGAATTCAAGTGCGTTAGCCTGTCTGAAAGCTAATACACAGTTCATATCACATATTACATAACACTCAGAGCAGGGCCTGGGGCAAGGTTTCCTAATTAAACACATCAATATTCTGAAGCAAAACACAACACATGCTCGAACTAACTCGGCAGGGCTCACACAGAGTGATCAAGGTTTGCAGCTGAATGAGTCACAACAACCTTGAGTTTGCTAAGCTGTTTGGGTTTCAGAACGGTGATGAGGGATTGCCAAGCTGCGTGAGCAAAACATTTTTTTTTTCTAACTCAGAGGCTGTTTACTGTTTATCTGGGGCTGGGCTGGTTGCAGCTGGTCAGAGGCTTTTATCGCTTACTGGCTGGCTGGCCGGCCACACGGCATCCAGGTGGCAGCGACTCCCACAGCTGGGTTTTCTGAGTGAGTGGCCCCAGGCAGTGTTACACAATGTGGTTTATTGGGCGACGCCCAGCTCTGCAGCGCTCACTTAAGCAGCACCACAGCAGGGCAGAAGCTGGTAGCTGGGGACGGTTTCGGAACACAACCTGAGAATACGGTGTGATGCAGACTGCAGCTTAACCACCTGCTGGCTTGGTGCTTTCCCTCTCTTTTCTGCAAAAGCTGTGTAAGCCACAAGATTCACCCCCGCAGGAGGATTCACTGCAGGGAAGGGCACTGTCATCAGTCTCCTGCCTGCGGTTCACAGAGTTGAGATTTAGCAAGAATCCACCTTGGAGAATGTAGAAGGAAAAGGAGCACTGACTAAGCACACGGTGCGCAGCAGGCACTCTGCCACGCACGCTCTGTAGAACATCTAGTTGCATTTGCACAAGAGTCCCATGACATAGCCCAAGAGTCCCATGATGTATTTATTTCATTATTGTATGTGATGATTCCCATTGCAAAGGGGAGAGACCTGAGACCCAGAGAAGTTACATAAGTTGCCAGGGGCACATGGCTGCCACTCTAAATCTGCTGCTCTAGGCAGGTGGCCAAGTCCCAGGAGGAGTAGTTTGCAGAGACTGTGGGTCAAGCTATCCATCCATCCATCTCTCTACCCTTCCACAATAATTGTAAAACCTCAACTCAACAATTCTTCTCCTTCTTATGCCCCATTTCACTGCCCTGCTCCCCATATTTTCCCAGACCAAGACCTCCCTTGACCCGCAAAGACGCCTCAACAGGAACACAAAGAAGTCCCTTCTTTATTCCCAAAACATCCTTTCTTTATTTTTCATTACTCAATAATTTTAGTAAAATATGAGTCCTATGATTTTCTACACACAAGAGCATAGCATCTGCAAACAGAAGTGGTTCACTGCCCTTTCAGCGTGGGTGGCTTTTATTTCACTTTCTTACCCAGCCGCTTAGGCGAGAGCCTCCAGCGCAAGGCAGAAAAGAAGTGGTGAGGAGTGGACCTCCTTGCTTGCTTTCTGCTCTCAGTGAAAACATTCAGCCCTTCACTGTTAAGTCTGACTGGAGTTGTGCACTTTTCATAAATGCCATTTACTGCATTGAGAAAGTTCTCTTAGTTTTGGTCTGTTGAGCATTTTATCATGAACTAGTATTGGGTTATATCAAATGCTTTTTTTGCATCTATTGAGGTGACAGTCTTTTATTTATTAATATAGAGGCTAATTCTTGGCATTTGGATTTCCAACGGTAGAGCTCCTAGCCCTGGGGATAGGGTATGGAAGAAATGGCAGGGAGGAGAGGAAGATGGCTGCCCTGCTGCACCCAGGAATGGGGCTCTGGTTGCACCTGGGTAAGGGCCAAGGTCGAGGACCTCAGAGTGGGGACTACCTGAGCTGTGTATCTGCAATACCCTGGAAGATGAGTCTGAAGACAAAAGGCCTCCTCCCACCTAACCAGGTGTGGAGGAGGGAGGACCACCTATATGCCGTGCCTGGGAAGGAGGGCTTGATGCGCCCCTAGAGAGTTCCAGTGGAGAAGCCAAGGTTTCCCCCGCAGGGGAGAGAGGCCTCAGGGTTGGCAGATACGGCAAACCTGGACTCTATGGTCAGGGGACAGATGGGAGTGAAGCTGCCTCTGTAGAGCCTACCATGGAGGCAAAGCCATGCCCCAGTGCTGGCCAGCAAGAGCACCAGGGTAGGACTGGAGCATGTCCCAAAATCCAGGTCTCTTCTCCTATCCCAAATGCCAGAATCTAAAGAGATTTCCAGGGGAAGGAGAAGAAGGAGAAAATCTTGAGCTTAGCGTTTAACT